GCGGTCCGTGAGTTCGAGCCCCGCGTCAGGCTCTGGGCTGATGGCTCGGAGCCTGGAGCCTGTTTCCGACTCTGTGTCTCCCTCTCTCTCTGCCCCTCCCCCGTTCATGCTCTGTCTCTCTCTGTCCAAAAGTAAATTAAAAACGTTGAAAAAAAAATTAAAAAAAAAAATTTAAAAAATTAAAAAAAAAAAAAGCTTTTCAAGTGTCGATACGTTCAGAGTTTATGGCTGCCCCTCAAATATCCCCAAGCCAGCTCAAGTGCTCCCTGGGGAGGCCCTTGGCCCTCTATCATCTGCAAGCTTCTGTCTCTCCATAAAATCGATAGCTCCCCAAGGGCAGGGCTGGGACTGGGCCGGTGCCACTTCCTGGCAGCTGGACTCCGGAGAGCACCAGGAAACATCCAGATGGCAAGGATGGTGAGGAAGAACCTGTTGTGGCTCCGGCACTCACACATTTAACTGAACCTCTTTCCTGTCTAACTAACTGCATTTCCACTGTGGCCTGCTGCCCACTTACGGGCTGGCACAAGGTCCAGGGATCTGTCACCCCCTGCCCTGTTCTGTGTTATGGTGGGAGTAGCACATGCTCTCCGGGGGGAATATCAGACTCTCTGGGCGGGGAGGCGGGGGTGGTGCAGTTTTTAAACGTATAAATAAAATCATCTTCTTCCTCAAAGGAGTTGAGGGGCGCCTGGGTGGCTCAGTCGGTTAAGCGTCGTCCGACTTCAGCTCAGGTCATGATCTCATTCTCATGGTTTGTGAGCCCAAGCCTCTTGTCGGGCTCCGTGTCTGGAGCCTGCTTCAGACTCTCTGTCTCCCTCTCTCTCTCTGCCCCTCCCCCGCTCATACTCTGTCTCTCTCTGTCTCTCTCAAAAGTAAAGAAACATTAAAAGAATTTTTTTAATTAAAACAAAGGGGGAGTTGAGAACAGGTTGACAAGATGCCATGCCTCCACATAGGCATCGGGCGGGCCAGAATGAGGACGCACTGGTGAAAACGGGGCGCAATGAAAGCTCTCACATGCTGCTGGGAAAGAGCAGCAGGGATCTGCCAGAGTAACCACTCAACCAGAGCGTGGCCGTTCCCCACCCAGCAATTCCACTCCCGGGGATGAGGCTGAGCCACGTGAAACTGCTAACACGGGACTGTGCTTGGCCAACAAAGACGCAACTTCACCCACGTGCCTTAATACGTACCTAATAACAACGAATACGTACGTTCACCCAACGACACGTGCTAGCTGTTCACAGCAGCGGTTTTCCCAAAGGCCGCAAACTGGAAACACCGAGTGTTCAGTGGAAAGGAGACACAAATGGCGGTGCGTTCCCCCAAAGGGACCCGGTGCAGCGACATGAGCAGGGGGCACGGGAGGCCTATCTGGTCACACCAATGACAAGGTGAGGCCCGCAAACAAGGCCTCAGACACACAGACCTGGCCGAGTGCTGCTGCAGAGTCCACGCGGATGAAGTTCAAGCATGGGAAAAAACCTGGGGCGCCGGGGTGGCTCAGTCAGTAGGTTAAGCCTCTGACTTTGGCTCAGGTCATGATCTCACAGCCCGGGAGTTCGAGCCCCGCCTCGGGCTCTGTGCTGACAGCTCGGAGCCTGGAGCCTGCTTTGCATTCTGTGCCTCCCTCTCTCTCACTGCCCCTCTCCTGCTCGTGCTCTGTCTCTCTCTCAAAAATAAATAAACATTAAAAATAAATAAATTAATTAAAAAGTACAGGAATAACCCATCTAGGCTGTGAGGTGGTCACCCCAGGCAGTCGGGGCTCTTTGCGGGCAGGTCACATTCTGCTTCATGACACAGAGGCTAGATTCTACGTGTGTGTTCAGTTCGTAAAAGCTTGTCAAGTTGTACATGCTTTTTTAACGTGTGATTTCCTGTACGTATAATTCAATTTTAAAAAAGGCTGAAGATCCTGTTTATACTTTCGTTCACCGCATTATAGAAGCCAAGCCATCTGCCAGCTCTGAATGCTATCTGTTTCTGTTGGTTGGCCACGACCAAAGATAAAAGTTCTTTGTGAAGCTCCAGAACCTGGAGAAGAAGGACCCTCCCCCCCAGGCAGGTAAGCAAGCCCACCGGGAACGATACCCTTATCCAAAGCCCGTTGGGTTTTCCCAGTTGGACCAGGGAGACTGTCCAGTGCATCCTGGCCGGACAGGAGCGAGCAAGCGAGCGAGGCCCTCAGGGCCCCTTCCTGCTCCCGCCCCTGCAGGCGGTGCACATGCACTGCTGCCAGGCCAGCAGGGGGAGCCCTCAGAACACGGTGCCGGCCGCCATGCTGCCTCAGGGTGACCTCTGGGACCAGGAGTAGGTTAGGCAGGAACACAAGGCCCCCATTGTACACATACGGAGGCAGAAGCCCAGAGAAGTTAAAACACTTGCTGCGGTCACACAGCTGGGAGAAGCAGTGCGGAGAGGAGGTGGTGACCTTGATGGGAAGGTCGGGCTGCCCCTGGGAACAACCACAGCCACAGTCAGTGCACAAGGCTCCCTGTGTCCTCAGCCAGAGGTCCCCGCACAGTCCCAGTGGCACGGATCACAAGCCTTGCCACGGCTGCCCTTGTCAGGAGGTGGCCAAGCACAGGAAGGACTCCTTCCACATCTGACTACAGAAAGACCTTGCCTATGGCCACAGTGGGCCTGCCGAGGGTTCAGGCGGGGGTGCCCCCCTTTGGTGAGAAAAAGCCACTATTTATTGTCTTGCCATCAAATACTGGGGGTCTTGAGGCAGGGGAGTGTACTGGGGAAGTCCAGAATGAGGGAGTCAAGGGCAGAGGTGGGGGTGGGGAGGGAAGAGGGTAAGGTGGTTTGTACCTGCGTGTGCGTGTGTGTGTATGTGTGTGAGAGAGAGACAGACAGAGAAAGGGATGGAGAGAGGTGGAGGAAGAGAGAGAGCTAGAGTGGGGAGGGGGAGGGAGGGAGAGACATGGAGATATGCCAGGTGGGCAGAATGAAGAGCTAGGGGAAACCTAAGGAACCATGGGAAGGGGCCCTGCTGTCACCCACACTCCTCCCCTTCCTTAGAGCTTCAGCAAACTACATTCACCCACTCATTAAGAAAAACAACTTATCAGACAGCTACTCTACACAGTCAACGGCTCTAGACCCTGGGGATATAATGTCCCTGGGCTCTCAGGAAACTCAGAGTGAGGCAGAGGATAGAAAAGTGAGCACAGAAGCAGAGAAGACCATAAAAGAGGGTGACAGGAGAGGGGGAAGTGCTGTCAACCTGGTGGTGGGAGGGCTCTGGGAGCTGTCTCAATGATGAAGAGGGCTTTCAGGCAGAGGACGCGGGAGAGAACAGACGGAGCCAGCAGACCCGCCGGCTGGGGCCCCACTTTCCTCTCCAACCTCAGGTGCCCCCACCACCTCGAATGCCCCGGTGCCCACCCCTGATCACAGTGCCTTCTGCCTGGCCCCACTCCCACCCTCTCCTTTTGGCTCCCGCAGGCCCCTATCTTTCCTCTACCACAGCACTAATCGCCCCACCTTGGATGCTCGTTGGCATATGTGTCTCCCAGCCTACCACCAGGGTGCTCGGTCTAGAATCCAGATCTAGGGGCGCCTGGGTGGCTCAGCCGGTTAAGCGTCCGACTTCAGCTCGGGTCACGATCTCGAGGTCCTTGAGTTCGAGCCCCGCGTCGGGCTCTGGGCTGACAGTTCAGAGCCCGGAGCCTGTTTCGGATTCTGCATTTCCCTCTTTCTCTCTCCTCCCCAGCTCATGTTCTGTCTCTCTCTTCTCAAAAATAAATAAAAGTTAAAAAAAACTGTTTTTAAATCCAGATCTGTCTGCGTACGCCTAGCTCAGAAATGTGCAGTGGTTCCCCGCTGCCTACAGGACAAAGCATAAAACGTCAGCATGTATGGCCCACAAGACCCTGACCATCCCTCTGGCCTCCTCTCCCAGCCCCAGACACTCTTCATTACACTCTGTGCTCCACGTGATGGTTTTAAAACATCCTCTCTTTTAAGAGATGCAGCTTCATTCCCATACTCTTGACGCCAGATCTGGTGACTCCCTTCTAACAAACAGAATATGACAGAAAAGACGGTGTGTGACTTCTGAGACTCAGTCCCAAGAGGCACCGCAGCTTGGATCACTTGCTCTAGGGAAAACCCGCTGCCATGTTACGAGGACACTCAGGAGTCCACACAGCAAGAAACTCAGGTCTCCTACCAACAGTCAGCAAGGCACGGAGGCCTCCTGCCAACAGCTATGTGGTGAGTCACCTTGGACGTGGCTCCTCCAGCTCATCGAGCTTGCAGATGAGGCAATTCTGGCTACCGTCTTGACCGCAACCTCATGAGAGCTCCTGAGCCAGGATCGCTCATCTAGGCTGCTCCTGAGTTCCTGAGCCACAGAAACAACAAGGTACTAAACATCTGTTGTTTTAAGCCCTTAAGTTTTGGGATAATCTGCTACAGAGCAATCAATAACGAATACATCCCAAACGTGTCAACTGCTGTCTTTGACACACATGTTATTCTCTTTGTCTGTGCTACTTACTTCTCACACCCTGACCTTTCCGCCAAGTTCCTCACATCCTTCAGGGTCCAAGAGAAATGTCATCTCCTTAGTGAATCACTCCTTAACACCCTCTCCCCCAACCTGGCACCACCTGCCACAGAGCTGGCTCTGACCCTGTGCCTCGCCAGCCCCTGCATAGGACTCTAGCATGGCCCTTCCTACCCCACAATGTCCCTGATGGCTCAGAGGCCTATCAAGGTCTCCCACCTGCCCTTGGGGGTAACAGAGATCCAGGCACCCAGAAAACTGGTGAAACCTCTGTCAATTGGCTTGTGAGCTACCACTCAGGTTTTTATTCCAGCGGGAGGAATGTAAAAAACTGGTGCTTTTTGCAACACATATTTAAACCCAAAGGGCCTCCCTCCATTCTTTCCTCCAAATGATGGGAAAGCATGAAGACCCACTGGTCAAGGGCCCCATCTTACTCCATGCCAACAAACCCGACAAGGGGAGCTGACCCTACCTGGATCAGAGCTAGCACCTTGTCCTGGACAATGGTGGGAGGGTTGTTCTTGGGAGAGATGATTTTGACCAGGACGCTGTCGATGAAATCTCGGTTGGCCACAAGGATGTGGAAGCGGTGGCCACAGTTCTTCACACATGTCTCCAGCACCTGAGGAGGTAGGAAAGGAAAGAGAGGTCACCACCGTGGGACCCAGAGGAGCTGCCCAGGCCACTGAGTTTCCACCCCCACCATGCCCCCTTCCTTCTCCTGGATGGTCCTTCCCACCGTCTCCTCCAGAGTCAGACCTGGATGGCTCCACATCCCTATGCTCTAATTCAGTTGTCCCTTGCTGTCTGAAGTTGCCTGTCCCTGAACAAGAATCAGGCAATTAGTTGGGAACTGAGGCACCAGTTTTGCATGAGAAGGACGCTGGTGTTTTAATGAGATCGAAATGACTGAGTGGTCCCTGAAAATTAGCATTTTAACTCCTCTCTCCGGGCTTCTGGGTGTGAGACCTTAGCCAATGGGACACAGGCTCTGTCACAGAGAGGGCTGCTGTGACAGCCCAAATTACCCTGTGAATTACTTGCCCTTTTATGCGAGGAAGCGTGCGTGCGCGCGCGCGCACACACACACACGGGTGCACACGCCCCACATGACCCTGCCTCTGCAACTAAAATTGGCAATGACTAAGGATTTTGTACCCTGAATAAATGGTTTGTGGGCCTCAGCTGCCAATCAGCTTCAAGGTCCATGTTCACTGCAAACCCTGTTCGCCCATCCCTGGTCTGGAAAAAATGAATTACACAGGCCGTAGGCATTAAGAAAAGCACGGCGCATGTGGGTTCTGGCCAGATGGCCATTGTGGGCTCGAATCTCAGCTCTGCCACTTGCTCCCTTAATGGCCCAGAATGAGTCTGTCTGCGCTGAGCTTCCTCATCTGTAATATGGGCACGTGAGTGCCCCCTTGCAGGACTGTAGTAAGGATGAGGGAGTCTGTCTGAAGCATCTAACACAGTGCCCTGCAAGGAGTGGGGCAGTAAAGGAGGACTATGGTGATATGATCATCATTTTGAAGGCTGTCGTACACACATGAGGAACGGGAAAAGCTCTCCCGTCCCCACACGACAGGGGAGAGGCTGGCTGGAATTCAGAGGCACCAACTGGAGTGTCCCCCAGCCTTCGACACACCCTTCTGAACTTCTCAGCTCTCTGTAAACCAACCTATACAATCACCCAGCCCTTCCCACACCAGTACCCCCCAATGCCACAGTCAACTAGCAGGGATGTGACGGACAACAGGGGACATTTCTGGCTGCCTCAGTTATCTTCATTTGCCCACAGTGAGCTGATCACTGGCTACCTTAGGCAGCCATTCCACAGGGCTGGGTTCACGCGATGAGGCGTCACCTTGACAAAGCGTGATGGTCAGGAAAGGCCCACGCTCTTAACATTAACTGAGCACAGACTACATGCCAGGCACCGTGTGGGAGCCCCCCACATTACAGCATTTCATTTTAGGCTCACAGAATTAGATTCTCTTTAAGTGGGTCAGGCTTCTCTGGAGCCCTTGTCTCCTCACCCACAATGAGGCCACAGGGCCAACCTCCCCCCATGGCTCTCCTCTAAGATCAGCTGGGAGTCCCTCAGATGACAGGCGACAGGTACTAGATTTCTTGTTCTTTCACCTGGTCCTTGAAATAGCCCTGTAAGGTGGGTGTTATCCCACTTTAGAGATGAGGAAGCTGAGGCCTGGAGTAACTTCACTGAGGAGGCCAGGGCTGGCATGTGCCCTGAGCCTGGCAACCGCAGAGCCAGTTAAAACTGTTCCTTTCCCCCGCTGCTGCCTGCACTGTGGGAGACCCTGGGTTCTGCTCGGCTTGCCAAGGAAGACCTCAAAGCTTAGCATCCTTGGGTCATCCACAGCCAAGGGAGGGGGGCATTCTCTTTCTTAGCCTCTGTACGTGCTCAATTCCAGACGATCTCAAGGTAACCAGCACTCACTCTTAACAGTGACCACGGGGGCTACAGGGATGAAGCAGAGGGGTTCTCCCTACCCTCCAGGAACTCACAGTTCCCCTTCTTTCCAGGATCCCCTCTCCTAACTTGGCCTATGCAGGCATCAGGCTGCTGCCAAGGCAGGTGGCAGGAAGAATGGTTTATTTGGTCAGGAAGAGGTGGGGAAGGGAAGGGAGGAGGCTGGGAAGAAAGCAGGTGTGGTGGAAAAAGAGAAAAGAGGAGCAGGAAGGCCAACATGGCAGGCCAGCTGTGGCTCTCCTGCCATGCTCAGGGCAACAGTGGGCCAGGACGCCTGTCCCAGGCACACCCTTTAGGGAGCACGCCCTTACATCTTCCAGGACAGCAGACTTTAAAGCCAGTGTGGCCTAGGCTAGACCTTCGGGCTCACACACAGGTTTGGAAATGCCCTGGAGAGAGATGGCATGTGCTACAAAGCAACCGTGAAGCCTAGCAGAGCAGGAGGAAATGCAGGAGGTTGTCCCTGGCTGGCAAGGGCCACTCGGCCACTCAGGGACTCTGTCAAAAGTGCCTTTGGTGAATCGGTGTCCCTGTGGGTTGTAGGGCATGAGACACACAGCAGCCGTTTTCCAGCAGCCAAAGCCCACAGAATAACAAAAGGTGCCTCTAAGCAATCATTAACAAACAAGCGAAGAAAAAAGCAAAACACTCAGGAATCAATTTAACTAAGGAGGTAAAAGATCTGTACCCTGAAAACTATAAGACAATGATGAGAGAAAGGAAAGACGACACAAATAAATGGAAAGATGTCCCGTGTTCATGGATTGGAAGAATATTATTAAAATGTCCATACTACCCAAAGCCATCTACAGATTTCACAGAAGTAGAAGAAACAATCCTAAAATTCATATGGAACCATTAAAGACTCTGAATAGCCAAAGCAATCTCTAGAAAGCAGAATAAAGCTGGGGACATCGTACTTCCTGATTTCAAACTGTATTACAAAGCTACAATAACCAAAACAGTATGGTACTGGCATAAACATAGACAATGGCACAGAAGTGAGAGCCCAGAAATAAACCCACATATACATATAATATTTGATGAGAGGCAAGAGGACTCAACGGGGGAAAGGACAGTCTCTTTGACAGACGGTATTGGGACAACTGCATAATGACATGCAGAAGAATGAAACTGGACTCCTATCTTACACCACTCAAAAAACTAACTTGAAGTGGACTAAAGACTTAAACTTAAGATGTGAAACGTAAAACTACCAAAAGAAAAACACAGGAAAAAAGTTCCCTGGTCTTGGCAAAGATTTTTTTGGCTATGACACCAAAAGCAATGGCAACAAAAATAAAAATAAACAAGTGGGACTACGTCAAACTAAAAAGCTTTTGCACAGCAGAAGAAACGATCAGCAAAATAAAAAGGCAGTCCACAGAATGGGAAACAATATTTGCAAACTATCTACCTGATAAGTGATTAATATCAAAAATACATAAGGAACTTAAACAACTCAATAGCAAATAAATAAATACACAAACAAATAAACAAACAAATAAGCAAAACCAATCCAATTAAAAATGGGCAAAGATGGCCTGGCTGGCTCAGTTGGAACACGTGACTCTTTATCTAGGGGTTGTAAGTTCAAGTCCCAGGATGGATGTAGAGATTACGAAAAAAATAAATAAAAAAACTTAAAAAATTTGTTTATTTTTAACAGAGAGAGAAGCAGAGAACAGAGGGAGACAGAATCCCAAGCAGGCTCTGTGCCATCAGTGCAGAGCGTGATGTGGGGCCCGAACCCACAAACTGTGACATCATGACCTGAGCCAAAACCGAGGCAGACACTCAACCAACTGAGCCACCCAGGTACCCACAAAATAAATAAACTTTTTTTTTATTATTTTTTTTAACGTTTATTTATTTTTGAGACAGAGAGAGACAGAGCATGAATGGGGGAGGGGCAGAGAGAGAGGGAGACACAGAATCCGAAGCAGGCTCCAGGCTCTGAGCCATCAGCCCAGAGCCCGATGTGGGGCTCGAACTCACAGACCGCGAGATCGTGACCTGAGCTGAAGTCGGATGTTTAACCGACTGAGCCACCCAGGCGCCCCGAAATAAACTTTTTAAAAAATGGGCAAAAAAAACCTGAAATAGACATGCCTTCAAGGAAGATGCACACATGGCCAACAGGCACATGAAAAAGTACTCAACCACTTATCATCAGGGAAATGCAAATCAAAACCACAATAAAAGATCACTTCACACTTGTTACAATGGCTAGTATCAAAAAAACAAGAGACAAGTGCTGATGAGGATGTAGAGAGAAAGGAACCCATGGGCACTGCTGGGAATGTAAATTGGTGCAGCCACTATGGAAAACAGTATGGAGGTTTCTTAAAAAATTAAAAATAGAGCTATCCCACTTCTGCAATCCAGCAATCCCACTTCTGCGTATCTATCTAAAAGAAATGAAAACAGGGTATCAAAGAGATATCTGTACCCCCATATTCACAGCAGCATTATTCACAATAGCCAACAAACGGAAACAACATAAGTACCCACTGATAGATGAACGCATAGACAAAACGTTGAGATATATGTGTATGTCGTATTTCTTTATCCGTGTACAGACACACACTGGAATAGTATTCAGCCATAAAAAGGAAGGAAATCTTGCCTTTTGCAACAACATGGAGCTTGAGGCCATTATCCTAAATGAAGTAAGTTAAATAAAGAAAAACAGGGGTACCCGGGTGGCTCAGTCTGTTCAGTGTATGACTCTTGATTTTTGGCTCAGGTCATAATCGCACGGTTCGTGAGTTTTGAGCCCCACATCAGGCTCTGCACTCACGGAGTGGAGCCTGCTTGGGATTCTCAGTCTCCCTCTCTCTCTGCCCTTCCCTGCTCATGCTCTCTCTCCCCCTCAAAAATAACTGAATTTAAAAAAAGAAAAATACCTAGTGTTTCTCACTTGTATGCAGAACCTAAAAAAGCTGAGCTCACAGCCACAGAGTAGAATGGTGGCTATGGAGCACGGGATATGGGGAGACATTGGTCAAAGGGTACAAATTCCCAGCTATGACTAAGTTCTAGGGATCTAATGGAGAGCATGGGGACCATAATTAACAACACTGCAGTATATATTTGACAGTTAAATTAGATCCCAGGGGCGTCTTAGGGGTGTCAGTCAGTTAAGCATCCAACTCTTGATATTGGCTCAGGTCATGATCTCACAGTTCGTGGGATGGAGCCCTGCATCGGCTCCATGCAGACAGCACAGAGCCTGGGTGGGATTCTCTCTCTCCCCCTCCAGCGCGTGTGCATGCTCTTTGTCTCTCTTGCTCTCAAAAATAAACTTAAAAAAAAAAAAAAAAAAAAAAAGAAAGAAATTGGATCTTAAATGCTATTCCCCTCCCCCAACAAAGGTAATCACGTGAGTAGACAGAGGTGTTTACTAACCTTATTGTGGTAATCATTTTGCAATATACACATGTATCAAATCATCACACTGTGTACCTTAAACTTATATATGTTACATGTCAATAATCTCGTTAAAACTGGGAGAATAATAGTAACAACAGACCTGACCATCAGGAAATGTTCAATGCCATTCAATGGTCTTCCAGAAGGAAGTAAAGGCAGAGACCTCTTTAGAAAGATTTCCATCCAAGCAACACGATTACCATTAGGTTGGGTGTGTAAAGGGGCAGGTACCAGGAAAATGTTCTGATATGTTAGAACTCATTCCCTGGTGATTTTAGCTACTGAAAACAATTCACTTTGGGTATCACCCTGGGTTTCATGAATGCCAAGGATCAAATTCTAAGCAAAAACCAAAAGCTTTCAAGTCACTACTTCTCAGCTGGTCTGTTTCTTCTTTATTATTCAAACCCCAATTCCCTGGCAGAGAACTCTCTCCTAATAAGTCTTGGGTTTTCACTTGGGTGAAAAATCCAAACAGTTTTCCTGCTTTAAAAGGAAACATGTTAGAGCTGTTTGGGATAAACAAACTATTCAAACCTACAGAAAAGCCCACGTGCTGACCTGTTAACAGTTTTCATTGTGAGAACTCACTGTGGCCCAGATTTTGCCACATCTGAGTAACTGTTAGCTTTCTGGACAGAAATAACACCTGAAGTTGTTCCTTTGAATTTCCTAACATTTTAAGAAAGGGCAAAAATCTGATCTGTTCCTTCCTGAGTCACTAGGCTGACTTTTTCCAGAACCTCTGCACCAATGACCAGTTTTTACCCCATAATTTACAGCCGGGCATTCACTAGCCACGAAGTCTGGGTGCACCCCCGGACCTCTCTGAGTCTCCATTTCTTCATCTGCATGAGGGAATGATGAAATCTGTTTGGGAAGGTTACTGTAAACAATCGCTTTATCCCCTGAAAAGCTCAGCACAGTCCCAGGCAGGTTCTGGGTGGAAGTCGGCAGGTTTGGAAGCAGGAACCTTGACACCTGGAGAGGCAGCTGGCCTCGCTGTGTCACAGCAGACTGGTGGCAGCAAGGACAGCCAGACCCAGGCCTTTTCTCGGCTTCTCTGCTCTGGGATTTTGTAGCAGTCAGTGCTGCCCATGCCTTATCTTCTGCTGGTATGGACCAGACTGCAGCCCATCCCCCATTTCAGGGGAAGGCAGGAAAACCCAAGGTCACTACAGGAAGGTTCTGCTGCTCTCCAGTGGCACTTGCACCAAGCCGTCCACAGGCCACGGCTACCGGAGGCTGTGCTGAGTGGACAGTGGGAAGGCCCTGTGGGTGGGGCAAGGCCAGGAATGTGGATTTCCCCAAATGCTTCCCCCCACACTCCCATGCCCCACGAGGGCAGCACTCACTGTTAACGCCAGCATGACTTCTCTGTAGTTCCGGTTCCCGTTGAGCCGCTTCTTCAGGGCTCGAATGGCGTCCTTTGGCCTGGAGAGAAGGACATATTAAAACCCTCACGAGTCCACTTGGGGCACTGACCCACATATTCACCCCCGTCTGTGTGGACTAGCATATATACGAGGTCGTATGTTATACACAAGGTTATAGGAGCCATGTTTATAAACATAAAAGATTGGAAACAAACTAAATCTTCATCAATGTGAAACGGGTTAATTTTTGTAACTTTATTTATTTTCAGAGAGAGAAGGCGAGCGGAGGAGGGGCAGAGAGAGAGGGAGAGAGACCAAAATCCCAAGCAGGCTCCGTGCTGCCAGCACAGAGCCCGATGCAGGGCTCGAACTCACAAACCATGAGATCATGACCCAAGCTGAAGTCAGACACTTAACCAACTGAGCCACCCAGGTGCCCCTGAAACACGTTAATTAAAAAAAAAAAAAAAAAAAAAAAATTTAAGATTTATTCTTCTTTAGTAATCTCTACACCCAAACGTGGTGCTCGAACTCATGAGATCACCTTGGCGCCCTGAAACAGGTTAATTTAAATCATGTTTATACACACAATGTAACACTACATAGCTGCAGCCAAGAATACAGACACTCCTGGGCACCTGGGTGGCTCAGTTGGTTAGGTGTCCGACTCTTAATTTCGGCTCAGGTCATGATCTCACAGTTCATGAAACTGAGCCCCGAGGCCCTCTGCACTCTCAGCACACAGCCTGCTTGGGATTCTCTCTCCCTCCCTCTCTGCTCATGCTCTCAAATAAATAGACAAACAAACAAACAAACGTGAAAAAAAAAGAATAAAGACACAGTCTATGCACCAACATGGAGGGAACTCAAAGATGTGAGAGTAGAGTCATCTGTAGAAAGTGTATAATGTATGCTATTCTTTGGCTTATAAAAGGACAACATACATACATACATAGTGCACGTGACAGCAGAGGAAAAGAATCCCTGAAAGGAGACCCAAGAAGCTGGTAACTTTGGCTGCCCCTGAAGAGGGGAACTGGATGACAGAGGAGGGGGTGGGTTTTTCACAGCCCTTTTGAATTTTGCCTCAAATTCAAGTATTATTTATTCAGAGCAACAATGAACCCACTGGCGTGGGGTACACTAAAGAGACAACAGACACAGAAGCAGAAGAGAGAATGGCCAGGTCCTTGCTGAGGCCTGGCTGTTCTGCTCCTCCCCAATTCCATGGAGCTCCTTTTTGCCCTGAGAAAACTTCAGTCTCCTCAAAACCCACAGAACTATGTGCTTTTAGGTAATGGAGCTGATGTGGATTCCCAGAGGCAGGTTCATAAGCTGATCGTTTGGAACCTGGAACACGTTCTTTCTTAAATCATGGATTAGAGCCGGGAGTTGGGGTCCCCAGCCAGCCCTCTAGAAGCACCTAGTAGGTGTAGCCCGTGCATCTGACAAGCTTATTTACTTTATTCTAAACCAGGATCCAACAAAGCTGTGGGACCTCAGGGTCACCTCTGGCACGAAGGCCTTGCCCTCTGACACCCAGCACCCGAGCTCCGGGGAGCCCCCGGGCCAGCTGCAGGCCGGCCCTTTGCTATCATAAGTGGGCTCCAGCCCTCCCCTGACCAGCGTGTCAGTACATCTGGGTCTCTTGAAAAACTGAAGGTCTGTCAGTCAGGGACCTCCTATTCCTGCAGCTCAGAAGTGTTTATGATTTCTTCACCAAATGAAAAAGTCCTTTCCAATATGTGTGAGGAAGCTGGGGGAAGGGAGGGTGGGAACTCTGCTAATCAGCCCAATTTAGACAGAAATACACAGGAGCAAGACAAGGCTTCTAGAAGAAATTTTAAAACACTGAGTCACCTATTTCCCATTCCCAACTTGAAACGTGGCTGCCTGCAGGAATTCTTGGCTCCTGAGCCCAAAGGCTGATGGGACGAGCTCTCTGGGGAAGGGGTCCCTGCCAAGTGTGTCTGCAGTACGGCTGCAGTTTCCAAATAGGGATGCTGATTTCTGCAAATACGGGGCTTGACAAGCTCCTGGCTTTGAGGACTGTTTGTGGACTTGAGCTGGTGAAGGTCAGCGGCTGCTGGCCAGGAGCATGGATTGATTTCCTCTTTCTCAAAGGCTCTGCCAAGCCACGGTCAGCCCTGACCCCCGGCTGCCGTCCCTCTCCATCCAGCTTCGTCCCTCTCCTCTTGAACTTCCACGGAGCAGAAAAATGGGCACAGCCTCCAAGGGCTGCGATCACTTCTAGCTCACAGAGCATGGCACGCACAGAGCTCTCCCAGTGTGGGGGTGATGGTGGTGGTGGGAAATCAGAGAGTCAGCAGGCTCCTGGGTTAGAGTTAAAATGGAAATTCAGCGGCGGGAAGTACTGCCTCAGAGTGACTGGGTGAGCACAAAAGCAAGTATTTATCTCTCTCCCCGGGGGAGAAGCTTCAGAGAGGAGGATCAAAGTCATGTCAGAGGAATTGCAAAGTTTCAAGCAGCAGCGGCAGATTAGACAGCAAGGAGCTGGAAACAGGGAAAAAGGAGAGAAGGAAGAGTCAAGAGCCAAGATGGAGCAGGGAAAAGGAGCAGGAGGGGGGGAAGGGCCCCGTGAGATGCCCCACCGCCCTGGCAGCCTTCAGCAGAAAGGTGGGCCCCTCAGGGCAGCACCCAGGGCCTCAGGATCCGGCCTCTGGGCCATCTTCAGCCTCCCATAAGGTCTCCTCCACCCCAGACTCATAAGAACCCTTCTTTCTAGTCATACTTGAACCCATCTTGGCCTTTGGCTCCAGAACTGCTGCTTCTGAGCCGCATGCTCCTTATTCCCTCCCAGGAGGACATGACTACCCCACCTCCACCACGGCAGACTCTTCCTCTCCCTCCCATCCTCCAGCCCCACCCCCCCCCCCCCCCCCCCCCGCCTTTCTGCTGCCATCGTGGTCTACCGCAGTCATGGAGGTGGTTATCCCTGCGCACACCCTCCAGCTTAAGAGGCTGGCGCCCAAAGATGCCATCAGCAAGGGAAGGTCTAGAGGTGGTCATGAAAATGACCCAGGTCAGCGGCTCCTCCTCAGAGCCGCACATCAGAATCACCTGGGAATTCAAACCCACACACCTGGGCCCTAACTAGGAAGGTCTGGGCGAGGCCTGGTAAACTGGGTCTAAAACATTCCCAGGTAGATTATTCAGTCAGGCGCTCCTGGTTAATGGCCGATGGATGATTCAGGGTATGGGGGACTGCCACACAAGGCCTGGGGATGGAGGGGATCTCAGCCTTGGACATTAGGGAAAGCCCAAGGAGGGGCCTGTGGGGCCGGTGACCGACTCTGCACACACCAGGACCGCCACCTGCCAGAGGTGTGGCTTTGAATAAATATGTGCAGGCAGAACTTTGGTGGCTGGAGCCGGGGCAGACTGCACTTCCGTCCGGCCTCTGTCCCTTTTAGCTGTGCTGTGGGACCTTTGGCAAGTGAGCAAACCACTCTGGACCTCAGTTTCCTCCACATTAAAACAGGCTGTCCCTACCTTCTGGGGTTGTTGCGGGACTGAGTGCACGAGCGGTGCAATCCAGGGCTTGGCATGGGGGCCTGGCACATACACAGCAAGTGTTCAGAGAATGGCAGACAGGGTAAGGGCAGCAAACCCACGGAGATCACTACCAAGGACCGGCCAGATAACACCACAAATGAGAAGTGAAGAAGTCACGCCAATGCCAGTCTTTAACGTGTATAAAGAGCAAACTCCTATGTAGAGCAGGATATGGACACATATACGGCCAAACACTTCACAAATATTTACTCCTTTAATCCTTGTAACCACCCCATGGGATAGGCACTGCTGGCACCCCCATTTTATAAATGAGGACAGTGAGACACAGGGGTGCACAGCAAGGGAGTGGAGGACCTAGAATTCCAGCCTAGGCAGGTGGCTGCAGGCTCCCGCTACACTCCCCTTCCTACGGGCATGCTGCACATACTGTCCACCAGCCCGGGCAGCCACCTCCCTGCCCCACCCCCCACCATCCCCCCACCTTACCTGGCTGGTGCCCTCATCTGCTGTAAGACTCCACTTGGGTGTCACCTCCTCCAAGAACTTTGCGCTGACAGCCCCAGGGCCAGCCAGCTGCCACAGCTCTAGTCTCTTTCAGTTATATGCAGCTTCCCTGGTCTCGCCGTGTTAGGATTATGTTCTGTATTCCTCATCAGACCAAGTCCCTTAGGGACTCCATCCATTTACTCGCTTCCTTAACTAGTGCTTGTCAAGAGTCAATTATGCGTATGTGTACCGTGCTAGCGTTGGGATAAAATGGTCAGTGAAACAGAATCCTGCCCTCATGGAGCGCACAGTCGAGGGGGGTCCAAGGGGGACAGCCACTCTAACAAGCATCGGGCAAATATGTAAGTTTCAATGGTGAGGGGTGTAGTATAATACACAGTACCGTGAAATCACAGACAGGGCACTTGTCCAAATCAGGAGGGGGGTGTCAAGGAAATGAGATTCAAACTGAGATCCAGTGAGTGCCAGAACTAATCAATGAAAGGGAGAGGAACACCCGGACCAAAGCCCTGAAGCAGGGAGGAGCTGAAGGGGTGCCCGACCATTAGCTGACCTTTTAGAGTTTTTCTCCCAATTCAGAAGAGATCTGACACTCCCCCTCATTGCAGAGGCTAAGACAGAAAATCCCCAGGCGTCCATGAGGCCCAGGGCTCTCACTCAAAACTTCAGGAACAGGAGCGTGGGCCACTGTGGGAGAAGGGGACTCAGGGGTTGGGGACGGAAGGTGATCCACCTCTTAGACCTGGGAAGGAGGAAGCTCCACTCTAACAGATATTCATATATGCCCACATTTGTGGAGAACTGCAAGTGGGAAGTTCAAGGAATTGAAAAGATCAGTGGGGTTAAAGGATGAGGACAAGGGGAGAGGGCCCCAAACGGAGTGGCAGAGGGACCGGGTTATCACGCAGAGTTCAGTCCACTAAAGACTTTTACTGTGAGCGAAGGATTGTCTTCTAAAAGACAGTCAGGGGACGAGAGGGAAAGGGCAAAAGGTAGAGCACCCGGAGGCTACAGCCTGACTCTAGGGATGACACAGGAATACGGCTCTTTACAACCCGACCGACCTGAAGCGCCATGCCAAGCCCTCCCTCCCCAAGGGGCACCCCTTCCCCACTATTTCCCTGCTCGTCCAGATCGCTCGTGTCCCCAGCACACTGCCCTTTCATGCCACTCTGATCTACACGCCACACTGCTTTCCCTGCCCCACTGAGGTCCAGCCCGGAGCCTGCCCCTCTGTGTCTGCTGCAAAGGGCACACACCTCAGTCACAGCCTGCCCGGCCCCACCGGGTGAGCCCCTCACCCGGTGAGGGACACTCATCTCGACATCCTGGCAATTGCTGTACCTCCACCTGTGGGGTCAATGAATGTGGCCGGACAACCGGACAAAGGAGGCCGTGAGTGGGAGACAAGAGGAAGAAAGGAGCGCAGTAGCTCCAGTACCAGAAATGCACAGTCCCCAACAACTCTCCGTGACTCGGCTGTGTGCCAGGCACCAAACTGACCACGGCCACTTAGGAACAGCAATATGCCATCGTTCACGGAAGACCCCAGCACCGAACTCACACCTCCAGCGCAGGCCGCTGCCCCCAGCTCCATACCCCTCTGTGCCAAGGACCCAGCAGCACTGCACCCAGCGGGCAGCTCAGATCTGCGGGATTTTAGCCGACCTGCTGATCTCTGCCCCTCTGCCTGCTCCCTCCTTATGGCAGCTCAGTTCCAAACACTGGAGAGGGGGCGCCTGGGTGAAGTAGTGAGTTAAGCATCCGACTCTGGCTCAGGTCGCGATCTCATGGTTCATGAGTTTGAGCCCTGCACTGCATCGGACTCCCCGCGGTCAGCGTGGAGCCCGCTTAGGATCCTCTGTCGCTCTCTCTCTCTGTCTCTCAAAAATAAATAAAACATTAATAAAAACCAAAACAGTGGAGTTTTCTTGGCTCTTCTCTCATGCCCCCATCCACCTCACAAACTCCACTGGCTCCACCTTCTAAATATGTTCTGAATCTGACCATTTCTCTCTCCCTCCTCTAAGGTCTTCTGGATCAAAGTCACCATCACCCCACACCAGGGTTATTGTATTATTCTAACTGGCTTCCCGTTTTCTGCCCTCTGTCCTTCCCACGCTCGACCAGACCATTCTGAACATGGTAGCCAGAGCGATCTCTTTAAAATGAACATTAGACCATGCCCCTCTCTGCTCAAATTCCCTCCCTCCACGTCAAGGCCAGAGCCCCGTGGTGCCCGCACTATTTGGATGGGGACAAGTCTGACCTCACCCCTCCTCGCTCTCTCCGCTCTGGCCCCAGGGACCTCTTGTGATTCCTCCAACATTACTACCTGCCCTTTGTCCTGGGACTGCCATGCTTGCTGTCCCCTCCATCTGGAAGGTTCTTCCCTGGTGTCATCCTCACACCTCACCCCCTCATCTCCTTCAAGTCTTTCTTCAATGTCACCTTCTCAAGTGAGGCTCTCCTTGATTTTTCCACTTAAAATGGCTGACTCCCGGCTTCGTTTCTCTCCAATCTTGTCACCAACTGACCATGTAATGTGAACACGTAATGGCTTCAAGGGCGTCTGTCCTGCTCCCTGCTGTGCCCTGGGCACTCACCCTGGGGCCCAGCACGAGGCTGTCACTCAGTAAGTATCTGTTCAGCCCCGGTTTACACAGGGCAAGGCTGCAAGGGCCAGAGCCAAGATGTAAGCCGGAGTCCGGACTGTCCTCCTCATCACTCTAGGGAGGGCTGGAGAGGGCGTGGCTACGGCAAATACCATCTTTTACGGTGTGGACAGAGGGCCAAACACAGACAAATCGGGAAGAAGCGTAAACAGAATGCAGCTGGAATGCAGCTAGAAGAGGACATAAACAGCCAGAAGGACCGACCTGGCAGCACAGGAATGTGAGGGGGTGGCCTGTGGGGCAAGAGACACTCTGTGCCTCACGCGGACTTCCACTCCCAGCCTCCCTCTGTGGACACTGTGGGCCCTCTCCCTCTTGCGGGTCCAGCCCGGGCAAAGCAGGGCAGAGACAGCCTCACTGTGGGGGGAAGGGGAGGCAGAGCCAGGGAGGAGGGACCGGAGGAGGTGACAACCACGGGGGAACCAAGTACCCAAGCAACTTCAGTTTCACTTGTGAGTCAAAGCAGGTTATTAAAAGAGGTCGTCACTGCTCTAAGGCAAGCGCTGCTGATGGGGGGTGGGCTGGTGGGGGGTGGTGGAGGCAGGAGGAAAGATAGAGTGTCAGTTTATTAAATGCCAAAGCAAACAGATGAAAAGCAAAACAGAAAGTACAACACTGCCGCCCTTAAGCCCTGACAGGCTTTGAGTGACCCCCCAGGACAGGTTTCACATGAGGTGGGGGTGGGGGAGGGACACATACCCTTCCTCCGTCTCATTGATAATGTCGCAGATCTCCATGTTCAACGTCCAGTCTTCGCTTTGCAGGGAGCCATCTGTTGCCTTTTCTGTAAAGTCAGAGAGAAAACGGATTTACATTTTTCCCAGAATCAGGGGGCCCTGGCAGGAAACACGAAGGGGCCAGAACCACCACATCCCCCTCCCAAGCACATGGGCTGGGCCGACAGAGCAGTTCTAAGGGTGCTATTTTCACAAGGGAGCATCCAGAGAGAGATCTGGCCCTGAGTGTTGCAAGATGGAAAGTTCTGGAGATTGGCTGCGTGACCATGTGAGCGCACGGAACACTTGAAAAAATGGTTAAGATGGTGATCTTCACGTTACGTGTATTTCGACACAATTAAGTTTCAAAAATTAAATGAAAACGCTCACAACCCCCGTAAGGTAGGTATTATTCCCTCCCGCGTTGAAAAGGAAGGAAACAGGCTCAGAAAGGCTGGGTACTTGTCTGGGATCTCATCATTGAGACTGGGGGTACCGGCATCCAATCTCAGGTTGTTTGTCTCCAAAGCCTACAAAATTGCATGATCCTGCCCCACCTGCTAGTAAAGCTGGACTTTTTTTTTTTTTAAGTTTATTTATTTTGAGAGAGACAGAGACAGCAGAAGTGGGGGAGGGGCGGGGAGAGAGAGAGAGAGAGGGAGAGAGAATATCCCAAGTAGGCTCTGCGCTGCCAGTGCAGAGCCCGACGCGGAGCTCGAATCCATGAAACCACAAGATCGTGACCTGAGCAGAAACCACGAGTCCAGCGCTCAACCTACTGAGCCACCCAGGTGCCCCTAGGAGAGCTGGACTTTGGATTTGGGGTCGTAGCTTAGACAAATTCTAAACGTGCCTCATCCTACCTGTACAGTTCATGAGAGGGATAACATCACCACCATTTTCTTCATACAACCCACACTTCCACTGATAGATAAGAAAACAAACGACCTCTGTACATGTTGAAATTGTCCTTGTTTTACTGGATGCAGCTCTGGGGAAGTGACACTTGTTTTTACATAACATACTAGAACTCACACATCCAAACAAAGGCTGTACTTATAAGCAGTGACAATATACTCCAAAAATATAGCTACTGCTCAAGACATTTGTGCAACAGCTTCAGTCTGCATGTAAATGCCCCATTGTTTTAATTTTTGCCAAAAATGACACATCCCCAACTTTTCCACCCTCTTTATTCATCAACCTTAACACCCAAAGACCCGTTGAAACAAGCAAGCGCGCCCATAAATGAGGCGGCTCTGTGTCTCAGGCAAATGCTGGGCCTGCAGCGGACTGGGCAGGGTGCTCGGAAGTCTCCGAGATCTGAGGAACCCTTAACCAAAGTCCACGATGGTGCCAGGCTGGCAGGGACAGAGGGAGTATCTGGTGTGTGCCCATAAGAAAAAAAGTGTGTGCAGAGAGGGAGAGGCAGGGATGAGAACCCGTGTCAGAGGCTCACTGGAGTCAGACAGGTCCCCGAGACGCTGCTCCCCTGCCCTGTCCACCGCCTGCATGTGGAAAAGAGCAGCCACAGCAGGAGAGCTACCTGGAGGGTGAGGGTGGGGACAGACAACAGCCACGGTGGGAAGGGTAGGGACAGGCCCCCAAGAGGAATGGCCCAAAGCACCGGTCAGCTTAGCCTAGAGAAAAAGACTAAGTACAGAGGCTACAGGAAGGCAGAGGGGACAGGCATGAGGCAGCATCACCCAGCAGCGTGTCCCCTTGGCACTGGGCATCAGCCGGAGGTGGAAGGCCACAGCCAGGTCCTGGAGCCGGTAACTGTGGGAGTGAAATGATTCGCGCCTCTGGCCCTCTGCTCTCCCTGCCACGCTCAGCTGTCTCTGAACGGCCCTCCCCTTCAAGGTGTCCACTCCCAGACGATGTGACTCCCCCCAAGGTCTCACACAACAGGGGAGCGTCTGTGGCCATGAGTGCAGAGCACATGCTCAAGAGGAGACCAATCCCAAAAAAGCCACTCTGCCCGCAGGCCCGGGCTTTCAACCCTTCTCAGCCGGCCAGGGGAGAGGCCAGCTGGCCAAACGGCCACTCCGAGCCGGTCATCCGTCCCTGTCACAGCACCGGCTGCGGCACAGACGTTCATGAGGAAGAAAGTCTGTGACTGCACTTTGGTAGGGCCATAGGGACACTGTCTTGGGAGGCTTAATAGAGGAAATATTAAATCAATGAAACCTCATTTCCAAGTTCGGTTTAGCAGCAGAATCCATTAACCTTATATTCACCCGCTCCCTTCCTCTAATAATACCGGGAAGGGGTTCAAAGGCATGATAACTTATCCTCCGGGTAGCGCATTCTATTCAATTACTGGGATTCTGAGTTTCCAAGCTAAAAGATATATACTCGTTTTGATTATAAAGAACCAACCCAAAAAGAATGCTGCTTTCTTTTCATTTTGCTGGAAATGCCACATAAATACAACTGTGGGTATTTGGCTCTGCTGAAACAGATGAGGGAAGTAGGGCTGACAAAGGAGCTCAAATCAGTTCTTATTTTTCTCTGCTCATAAAAGAATTCCCAGCAATGGGAACAAAGTTGTATCTGATTGCCCCTGGAACTGCAGCCACTCAAAGCGTGCTCCCTCACTCAGTCCTGTCCCCGGGCCAGAGGAAGCAAAATTCAATCTCATTTCTTTTGTCACGTAAATCGTCAAAACCTAAAATAAATCCTGGTGCAACAGCAGAAACACAACGCTCCAGGGAGCGATGGGGCAAGTCATTCCCATCAGCCAGCCCTGGGGACGGATAAAGATCAAAACACCAGTGACCCTGGCTGCAAAAGCTGACCTTTCAGAGTTCTCTGGTGATATGCTAATGGCCAGGGGCTGAACTGGGCAAGACCAGGCAGGGCAGGGCTGCGCTGGGGCTGGGCAGGGCAGAGCAGGGCTAGGTAGGGCAGGTCTAGGCAGGGCAAGGCTGAGCAGGAAGGGCAGGGCTGGGATGAGCAAAGCAGGGCAGGGCTGGGCAGGGCAGGGCAGAGCAGGGCTGGGCTGGGCTGGGCAAGGCAGGGCTGAGCAGGGCTGGGCTGGGCTGAGCAGGGCAGGGCAGACCAGGGCTGGGCTCAGCAGGGCAGAGCAGGGCAGGGCAGACCAGGGCTGGGCTCAGCAGGGCAGAGCAGGGCAGAGCAGACCAGGTGTGGGCTCAGCAGGGCAGGGCAGGGTAGAGCTGGGCTGGGCAAGGCAGGGTTGAGCAGGGCTGCGCAGGGCTGAACAGGACTGGGCAGGACTGGATCAGGCAGGGCAGAGCTGGGCAGGGTAGGGTAGGGCAGGGCAGGGCTGGGCAGGGCAGGGCAGGGCAGGGCTGGGAGGCCAGGGCAGGGCTGGGAAGGCCAGGGCAGGGCTGGGATGGGCAGAGCTGGGCAGAAGCAAACACAGCTCCCATTAAACCTTCAGTGCAAGACAGTATATTATCCTAAAGCTATTGACAAGGCATTTTCTCCATTCACAAAAGGCTGCCTCCAGCCAGGTGGAAGCTGGGAGCCAGGATGCCCTGAAGCCTAGACCCTGACGGCAATGATCGTGTTCTCTCAGGCTTGGTATTTCTGTCCCCCCACCGCCACCCCCACCCCCACCCCCACAGTCTGAAATCCCAGGCGGTCCTGCTGGGAGGAGCCTCACAATCCAGTGGCTTGGTTTCTTGGCTGCTGCTGTCTACACTTTGATGTTAAATATAGTGACTTCAGAGCAGCTAGCACCAGAAGGCAAAAGAGGGCTGGCTTTAGCATTTTGCATTCAGCAACATCCTTTTGGTGAGAATGGAGAAAAAATAGCCAAATTATCTACCTCCCCAACAATCAAGAGTGTGGGTCGCAGCCCAGAGGCACTGGCACAAAGGAACATCATTCAGGGTTCTTTCATGCCAGGTATTGAGGAAGAAGAAAAGGGGGTTGGGGTGGGCAGGAAGCTCCTCTGATAATATGCACCAATAATAGGAGATGAACCTTCTCGATTACTACATGCTAGTGAGGCAGGTTGGCATATACCAGTCGGGTGGAAAGAAAAATCAATCCTGACATTCTACACAGAGCCATTATTGTCTATTGCTTCAAATTCCTAACATGCTTTGTGAATGTTAATTGCAGCTGCTCCCCATCCACCGGAGAGACAAGAGAATGAATTCCAAATACTCATCCCTATTTTATAGGATGTCCTTTTCTATGACAGCTGTCCCTGCTCCTCTCGTACCCCTCTAAAGGAAGGTAACAGGACAAGAAGAAGGTATACAAAGTATGTCTGGTCAGCCTGTAGACTATTGTGAGGCAGCTTTCTCTGTAACTTTAAGGCAAAATAAAGCCCCACGGTGCCCGTGCCCTTCGCTCCAGATTGGCAAAGCCCGAGTCGTGCCATGCACTGCACTTGCAGATGACGAAGACCCTACCTTCAGAGGTCAGTATAATGGGAGATGCCTCTGGAGAGTCAGACAGGCAGTTGGTTAAGGTACAGTCCAGTCTGAGCTGTAAGAGGACAACCACAGCCCTCTGGGTGGCTTTGATACCTGTGCCCGGGTGCCAAGGAGCCGGGAGGAAATTAATGGCACCCTGCGCACACACTGTGACAGACAACAGCAGCTTCTTTAAGCAGAACACAAACATTGACAAGATAAACCGGAAAGAACCAGCCAGTGACCGTGTGACAGCCTGGAGGAAGCGACCACGCCTCTCTCTCACACACCCCAGCGAGAGAGCTCCAAGGAGGGCAGGAGGTAGGACCGTGCTTCCCAAACTTGGCTGCAGGTTAGAATTACCCAGAAGCTTTTTACAAATATTCCTGCCGTGGTCCCAGTACACACCTTCAGATCCGAACCTTTCGGGCACAAAGCCAGGTACTGACATGTTTTAACAGCTCGCCCCCCCCGGGTGGCTCATCATACAGCCAGGGCTGAGAACACTAACTCAGGGGAAGGAGAGCCAACAGAGTCATCCAGCTGCCACAAATGTACTATACAGCTACCAATGCTGGACACTGGGGACACAGAGGAAGGCAACACAGCCTAGAGTCCGCCCTCACGAAGCTCCTGGCCCACAGGAGGACAAGGAGTCAAGTGATCCTGGCTCG